TTTCGGCAGGGAAATCCCCGCGTTCTTTCGTCGTCGTCGAGCGTCCCACGCACCAGCCCGTGTTCATGGCTGTCTCTCCGCTTGAGTCATCTTCCAACTCAATCAAATCGCCCTAGAGAAAAAAAAGGAGAAATTGGTTTATCAAAATTGTCAAGGCCTTGATTGATCAATATTCTTGCACAGATGCTTCCCATGACAAAAATTCAGGAAAATGTTCCTAATCCCTTCGAATTAATTCTACTCAGGTAAGACGCGCAAAAGGATTACAGTTGAAAATCCCATGCCTTGCAAACAATTTTTAGGAACTTTTCCCACATATAATTTCAACTCAATCCCTTTTTTTTTTACCTTCTATTAGCCAACAAAAAACCAAAATTTATACAATTTAAACGCACATTTAATGCTGCATTCAAAACTGAAACTAAATTCGAATCCGGAAAAGTTAAACTGGAAATTGCGGATATCCTTCTTAATTTTAAGCTTCACATTTTTTTATCCCTACATTTTTATTTCACGAAAAATCGTAAAAATTTGTACAATTACAAGGCATATGCAATGCTTTACTTAAAGTTTTAATTGCTTCTAAAAAGAAAAGTTTGCAGTGAGCTGAAATGAGAATCCAGAAACTTTGAAGCATCTTTTGTTTTAGTTTTCCTTTTTTTGTGAATCAAAAATTAGAATTTGGCAAATTTCCAGGCACATTCAACCCTTCTCAATTCAGATACATAGGTAGAGTAGGTTGCAGGGTAGGTAGCAGTGTCGTTTTTAATTATAGGGTTTTACGCATATTGTCCAGGTGGCTGGGCACCCCAGCTAGTATAGTATGGTGTACCTGTGCACTTGGGCAATCTATCAACTCTGGAGGGAGAAAACTGGCACCTGCTCATAAGTCGGTCCCATGGTGTAATGGTTAGCACTTTGGACTTTGAATCCAGCGATCCGAGTTCAAATCTCGGTGGGACCTCAATTTTTTCCACTTCATGGTTTTAGAAAAATTGATATTTGTCTATGACACACGCCCCTTTCTTTTTCTCCCAAATTACAGAAAAAGGTGAACATGGTACTCAAAGAGTGGAATGAGATTACTTCTGCTGGATACATTAAGCAAATTTAAAAGAATTTTGTTATTACTGTACATTATTTACTCATGTAGAATAACCATGCTGGTATGTTTACTTACCATGCGCCCTTGAGTAAGAAGCACACCAGCATATTTTAATTACAGTACTCTAAAACCACAATATTTAAAAATAAGAAAACCCAATTTGAATTAAGACATGAATTTCACATGACTTAGAATAATATTCAATTTTTTTCATCAAAAAAAACTTTTTCCATTGAACCTGGTCAAAAAATTCTCATTAAAATCAAGTACATAATTATACGCACCAAAATTTATGAAACTTTCTGAAAAATGTATAACCTTCTTTGACATGTATACCCCCTTTTTCCACTCAAAATAAAAAAGTCCGCGCGGTACTCCAGTAAATTTCGCAAAATTAAGATTTCTACGATATGAAGGCACACAATTTAGATTCGTTCGTCTTTCATATCGGAAAAAAAATTACTCCCCGTCTCAATCAGTACCCGAAACTTGGGTTCGTTGAATTTTGTCCCCAATTCCATATTTTCTTCAGCTATACGTACAATAGGTATCGCCTGACGTTTAATGAATTAATTCTGGGTCATTTTAGGTTACGTACATTTCAGTAAGATTCATAATTCAGGCGACATCTGGTAAATTTACTGCTGCTTCACCCGAAAAGTGTCTCACAGTTTTTAGGGAGCTCGGTCGGGCGTTGAGGTGAAAATAAACGGAATTCGCGATTAAAGAAAATAATTTAGAAAATTTGAAACATCAAAGAAAAAATGCATCATCTGAGGAGCGAAACATTACCTTCGCGAAACTGAGGAACATGGTGGTGGATGCGGTGGAAGACATGGTTCCAGTGTCACCAGATGGCACAGGTGCTTTATAATCCTGGACAGCGATGACGTGCCGAGACCTTTTTCGCAAACCTTCCAGGAAGTACATGACTAAATCCCGGATATCCTCGGAATTCGGGCTCTGGAATGTAAACTCTTCCCCGCGGATGGTCGTAATTGTGAACGTTTGCGCCACTGCCTTGTTACTCCTGAAAGAATGCAGGCACGAAACGAAACACGAGCTGATTAATCTTCCAAGTACTTAGCTAGAATTGAGAAAAATTTCTGCAATCATCAAGGTTATGGGACAACTCACATTTTGCACCAATTCACACAGCAAATGTTCATCGAATATCATATTCAACTATTTTTGAATTAATTTTTGCATTCATTTTCCTGTTTAAGGAGGTGTTATATATATATTTTGTTGTTGTTGCAAGAGTGGCAATTTGAATGAAGAATTACTTTTGAAGCACAAGAAAAAAGCTTCAAAGTATCGCCCAAATTTAATTTTTTTAAATATTCATCTGGATTAAAATTACGTCGAGATACAGGAAACATTTTCCCCTATTATTTTTCGAAAGCGAATTTTAAAAAGAAGTTTCACCAAATAAGGAACAAAACGTATTGCTCAAACGACTGCGTTTGAAATAGAATCCTAATTTTTAGAATATTTCGAATGAAAATCACGATGAAATTTTTAAAATGCTGCAAGAAATCAAGAACTGCAAATTAAAACACACGGTATATCTTAGTAAAGGACCACAAGCTTTCTCAAACACTTGGGAAATGTACAAAAATATCCGAGCTGTTGCGTTTAGCCATTGGTTGCTGTGCAATTCCTAAACGAGAAATTTGGCGAAAAATACTCCTGAAGTTATCTCTCCAGAACTTACTTGTGGGCAGTCATAGACGTGATTTCGGGAAATGATAATTCCAACAGAACCTTCTCCTGGTCATCCACGACATAGACGCCCGTCCAATTGACGGCGATGATGACATCATTTTTGGGCAAGTTAGGGCCGGAATACCTGAATGCTTCGTAGAACCTCGAGAACAAAAGCGGCCACTTGAACTTGGCATACGATACCACATCTTCTTTGACAGCCAATGAAGGAGCCTTCTCCTTGACGTAATAGGCCTGCAAATGTGAAATAAATAGAAATAATCGGTATAAAAATCCTTCCATGAAAACAATGAATTCATTTTCCAACGTAGAATGCCGAACATCACATATGAGCAGAAATTATAAAAATGATAAAAGCTCAGATTAAAATTCTCTAAAAAATGAAGTACTGTACTGTANCTTGTTACTCCTGAAAGAATGCAGGCACGAAACGAAACACGAGCTGATTAATCTTCCAAGTACTAAGCTAGAATTGAGAAAAATTCTGCGATCATCAAGGTTATGGGACAACTCACATTTTGCATCAATTCACACAGCAAATATTCATCGAATATTATATTCAACAATTTTTTAATTAATTTTTGCATTCATTTTTCTGTTTAAAGAGGTGTTATATACTGTACATATTTTTGCAAGAGTGGCACTTTGAATGAAGAATTACTTTTGAAGCACAAGAAAAGAGCTTCAAAGCGTCGCCAAAATTTAATTTTTTTTTAAATATTCATCTGGATTAAAATTAGGTTGAGATATAGGAAACATTTTCACCTATTATTTTCCGAAAGCGAATTAAGAAAAAGAAGTTTCACCAAATAAGGAACAAAACGTATCGCTCGAACAACTGCGTTTGAAATAGAATCCTAATTTTTAGAATATTTCGAATGAAAATCACGATGAAATTTTTAAAATGCTGCAAGAAATCAAGAACTGCAAATTAAAATATACGGTATATCTTGGTAAAGGACCACGAGCTTTCTGAAAAACTTGGGAAATGTACAAACATTTTTGAACTGTTGCGATTATCCATTGGTTGCTGTGCAATTCCTAATCGAGAAATTGGGCGAAAAATACTCCTGAAGCGATCTTTCTGCGAACTTACTTGTGGGCAGTCATAGACGTGATTTCGGGAAATGATAATTCCAACAGGACCTTCTCCTGGTCATCCACGACATAGACGCCCGTCCAATTGACGGCGATGATGACATCATTTTTGGGCAAGTTAGGGCCGGAATACCTGAATGCTTCGTAGAACCTCGAGAACAAAAGCGGCCACTTGAACTTGGCATACGATACCACATCTTCTTTGACAGCCAATGAAGGAGCCTTCTCCTTGACGTAATAGGCCTGCAAATGTGAAATAAATAGAAATAATCGGTATAAAAATCCTTCCATGAAAACAATGAATTCATTTTCCAACGTAGAATGCCGAACATCACATATGAGCAGAAATTATAAAAATGATAAAAGCTCAGATTAAAATTCTCTAAAAAATGAAGTACTGTACTGTACTGTCTGTAGTTCCTCAGATACTATTTAAATTGAATCATCAAAACTTTACACCTTAGTTGAAACTTCTTCCGTCGAATTTCTCCAGCAAACACTATTTTAAACCCAGAATTACCCAAAAATAAGTTGACACACAAGTGCAATGAATTGTAACATAAATCACACCTTTTTGAATGCGGTGATGGTGAGCTTTGCCCATCTGTCCAAAGCAACTGCTTCGTCCTGTCCAGCCAAACAATAGTCCGGGATGTAGTTCGGCAACGTGTTCAACAACCTTTCCGGATGAATATCTGGTCCGCCAAACTCTATGTAAAATTGCTGCGCCGCAATCATGGCCAAGTCTTCTTCCTTGTCGCACCTGTATTCTCCAAATTTCACTCCTCGAACGACCTGAGAATTTGAATTTTGTTTTTCTCAGTGAAAAAAAAAAAAAAACTCGCACAAATTTTACACGTTCGGAAAAGCCGAAATTTGTTCCGCATTGAGCTGAAGAGAAACCTTTACAGTCCAGGTCATTTCAATGTCAGAAAAACTAAAGTCTTTTTCAATTTCAGACAAGACTCTCAAAAATTAAAAAAGTACCAAAAATGGGGCTCGAATACACAGCATAAAAAGACTCACAATTCTTTTGTGCTGAATAAAGTGAAAATATTCGATTAAACTTTTCGATTTCCTTTCGAGTCAAAATTTTCATCAGGAAATATATGATAAAAGCTAATTGTTTCTGGCCGTCCGCATGAAATAATAAAAAAACGGGGGAGCATTTCAAAAGGAAACGAGGTTTCCTCTGATTTCAACGTTTGATCTTTCTTTCTGGAATTTAAATTACGTATAAGTCACATCACGAACCCAAAAATCTCCAGATATAGTACAATTACACAACACCAAACCCACGTTATTTGAATCAAAACTAACCTTCGCTATGAGGCAAAGGAGCCTGATTAACATAATCAAATGTAAACACAAAAAGAGATTCAAAGTATTGGAACCAGATTCAAGCCACGTCTATGCAACAGTGACAAAATCGAGTCACGAAAAAGCGAAAAACGACGCAGTGACAAAAATTTCTCTTAGACACACGCTGGACTCTGACCTGTTGGTAAATCAAATTTGTTGCAGTGGCGTCATCTGTCGGATCGTGCCACGGAGAAAATATCTCCTTCCTAAAGAATAGTCTCCAGGGGGCGTTTCGTTCCTGCGCTCCCTGTTCTTTGGCGTACTGTTCGCACTGCGAAATGGCATCCATGACGTGATCGCCTCCAGAGCCCAGAGACGACACCTTGTCAAACAAAGCAATGTACAACGAGAATCCAAACTGGTCTCGCAACCCGATTTTATCAGCCAGCTGATTGCATAACTCTCGAGCAGTTGTCGCTGAATCCGCGAGGAGCGTTTTCGTGTTGCCGTCCATGAAGGTTATCGGAAGCATCAAGGGTTTCTTCGACTTCGTCGCCTGATGACCAATGAAGAAAAGAAATTGGCTCGAATATTTTCGTGAAGAAAAACATTCAGAGAACCCAACGGAAATGAAAACAAAATTCTTGCAATGCACTCAAAAACAATAACACGAACTTCTCTGTCGACAAAAAAATTATCGGCATTCGGCAAAGTCCTTTTTCTCTTTACAACGAATTTTCTTTTGGTCCCGGTAGATTCTTCATGGGGACAATTTAACAAAAATTCCATTATAAAAAACTAATTCTCCTCTACACTGTAAAATTAGTACAGTATAAATTTTTTTTGCTTCGATTATGTTCACATATGCGATGGAATATTTTTACTAATTGGCACATGTGGGACATAACAACCTTTGCCAACATTATCATTTACTCTAAAGGGAAACATTTTATCGCACATGACACAAAAGCCATCAGTGGTCATTATTATCTTGCATTCACTGCACGCATCTTGCATTTCGGAAAGAAAACAAACCTGCAATTCGAGCCAAGATGGAGGCTGATTTCTGGTCCCATTGTTGAACGTGCGTCTCAAACGCTGGTCGCAATACGGCGCATAACCAGGAGGACCATCACGAATAAAAGCACGTAGGTATTTCACGAAGTCATCCGAAGGAGCGAAACAACCTACGCAGAGGCTGAGCAAAATCCAGCCTCTGGCGTGACTTGACTTGGACGGATTGCTCGTCAACTGCTTACAAATTTGACAGTAGATCTGCAGAGACAAGTCAAGGATTAAAATCAAACGTTTGATTATTTTGGTATGAAAAAATTCGAGTTTTTTTTTTTTTAAGTTTCCCGCACGACATTCTTGACCCTATGATTTTCTATATATGCCTCACATTTTAAGGTTCGCTCTGGGAAACAATTTTTAGAAACAGCTGGTTTCTAAATACCGTAATTTGGAACAAATTTAAACAAGGCGGAGTTGTTGCCCATGCACCCTAATCTCACAAAGGTACGGAAATTAGTTTGCGTCTGGTGATATAGTTGAAATCACTCAGCATAACATCAGTTGAATTATTTTCAATGCGGATTATTGCGGTTCGAGTGACTTTCTTCATATTTTTAAACATACTTCATCGCGAAGTTCCGCCCGAAGAATTCCGTGGCCAATTATGAAATGCAACTTTTCCAAGTTGGACGTGGGTCTGGATTCAAGCCATGAATGGTAGCTTTCAGCAGCTGCTTCCGCTTCGTCTTCTTGCAGCCGGCGACGAACGTCTTCCCCCAATTTGTTCTTCCTCTTCAACGTCAAGCTCACCAGCTTGTGTCGAATCGACCTTCCACTTCCACCCTGCTAGAAACGGAACGAAAATTTACTTACTGCTGCTTCTATTTTTTTTTAAATCGCCACAACAGTGACTGACGTAAATTTTTTTTCCTTCGCAGAGAAAAAAACAGAAAAGACATTCTGGTAGAAATAATTCGAAAATCAATCAAAAAACTGTCTGCATCCGTTTCCTTTCATACTGTATAGGTACACTTGCACAGAGAACATTCGGACTTACTCCGGCTGTTCCATTTTCCATTCGACCATCTTCTATCATTTCATCCATCCGCTGAGCTTCTTGGAATTCCCGTGACTTGACAAAGCTTCGACCTAGTGTAGCAGTCACCTTGCTCATGACTGAAACATTGTCTCGGTCCATCGTGTGATACTTGGGCTCCGGAAGATCCCCCATGAACCTCAAGATTGTGATCCATAGCGCCAACGAGGCCTAAAAAATAATCGATTTTTTTTAGATCAATTCAGGAAAGGATACTGTGAATGCAATTAATAAAGCATGCATATTCGTACCGAGAATCCTTTTTTTTTTAACATGGTATTCGCGCAAGGACTTTTCCAGGCTTTAATTATAGATTCAATTGATCAATCAAAATTATGGCATAGCATTCTCAGGCAAATTTTAGTCGCGTATCGGATCGTACTGTTTTGTTCTTTCAAATTCGACGTCCAACGTTCTCAACGGCAAGATGGTATGATTTTTTTCCCTCATCCAATATTTAAGTGGGGTCAACTGAATTTTATAGATATCGAATTTTGCAAGGCAAAAATAAGGCTATACTGTATTAGGTGAAGTTTTTCTGGTTAGCGTGTAAAGCGACACCTGATCAACATTCTTCAATTGCGGATCGATCGTTGAAGTAAGAACAATTCGACTCTCATCTCGATATCACAGTTATTCTAGATGATGTTTGCTTAGTTTCTCGCAAAGATTCAAAATGCAGTAGTAGAATCTCGTTACAACGAATGAGCGATTACAAAGAAGTCGTTTTCAAGTCCCTGCTCGACAGCCACGATGTTGAATGAGTCGCTTTATAACGAATTTTTTGCCACAGCGAAGCTATTTTACTGCTGGTACCCATGGTTTCGCTGTACAGTAATGATATTTTACTTCGGCAAAATCTCAACGAAGCCATTGGGACTTTTAAAATAACTTTGTTAAAACGAAAAATTCCTTGTAAGCGAACTTAAATAACATGGCAGCTATTGGACAGGGACCCAAACACGAATCCATTGAACACCATTACATGTCAAACGTGATTCGTAGTAACGAGATTCTACTGTAAAAAAAATAAATAGGAAAATATGGGTACGACGCGAATAAAAACCGAAATCTTTCTTGAGAAATAACGTACCAACTGATCACCCTGGGCGTGAAGTCCCATCAGCGGCTGTTTCAACGGTTTCCTCGAATACGCGTGATTCGCATTGCCCTGAAAGTAAGTCGCAGCAAATTTGTGGAACTTGTACTCGGACAAGTCTTCACCCTCTTCCTCGGGGGCATGCGGCACAGCATTGATTAGATCAACGTGAGACGACGAGCCTCCGAGGTCACGGAACGCGGCTGGGCCAGCAGCAGCATTGCCCGGCATGGACATGGCCGTGTCCTGGGCACTCATATCGCCGGTCTTGAGGAAGCCAAACATTTCTTCCACGAGCTGGCCGTCGTCCAGGGGCATCGTCTGGGTCTCCTCGGCCTGACGGACCACGGCTTTCTTTTGCTCGATCACACGACGGTCCTCCATCGCCATTTCGGATTCCTTACGTTCCAACTCTTTCAATCTCATCTGAGCAAGGATAAATAGAACAGCATTAGAGGAAAGGCACAAAATCACCTTCACTCGAAACATTTCAGAGCCAATTCCAAAAAAATATTTTTTCAAGATGAATTTTAAAGCTTCACGACGGGGAAATAAAATCCAGGGCTACATTCAAAAATCCCTCACCTTCTTCCAACTGGTTTCTATTCCAGTCTTGTTTAATTTCATTTCAAGCATGAATACTGAAAAATCAACACCCTCAACAAATTATGATCAATTTTGGCAGGTTCATCACGATATGCACTCGCCATAGAAATGATAAAATCGAGAAGCATTTTACTGAACTTGAGAAATCAACCCAGGTTTGGCCGCGAATTTTTGAAGAACACTAGATTACTAGAAGACTCGAAATTCTTCGTAAGATTCGAAAAATAAGTTTTCTTTTCGCGAAATCAATTCCATCAAAATTTTGAATTTTGCAGAAACAAGTACAGTAGATCGAAATTTGACCCGTGGAAGCAATAAACGTCTAAATCGCAAGGTTTCCATAAAAAATGTTTTGCTCACCCTGTAGCGTTCTTCTGCAGCTTCTTTCGCTTTCTTCCCACCCAGCTGCTTCTTCAACTCACGTTCTTCTTGTTCCCTGAGTTGTAGTGCTTCAAGTCGGTTTCTATGAACAAACTGAAAACACAAAATAACTGGATTAAACGAGGGAAATTCGTTATACATTCAACAAAAACTCATCTCCTGAAATCGAGCGAAAAAATGGCAAGATGTCTAGGATTGAGCAGCACTATGAATTTATTGCAATCAGAAAATCATAACATCAGTAAAAAAAATTGCAGACATAAAGCATAAGAGGCAGTGGAATGGACAAACGCTCGATTTCTGCTAAAAAAAAAAAAAAAACGTTGCCAAAATTCTTGTATCTGCGATTCAAGAGCAAATAATTTATTCCGCAAGCTGAACATCCATACATTCAGTGGTCATCATACAGTGTTCTCAATACTACGAATGTCGATTGATCTTCTTTATATAGCAATGTGTTACGTCTGCTTACGTTAAATTAGGTTGAACAAAAGCTCAGTTCACGGCGTCGTCAAACTCGTCAATCGATATTGCAATTTAATAAATGAAAAAAAAGATGTTCGCATTATAAATGAAGAAAACTAAAAATCAAACAACAAACCTTGAGTTTCTCGTACTGGCGCATAGCAATCATCTTCCGGACATGGCTTTGAATTTTGACAACGGCCCACATTTTGCGATGGAAATCCCGACGTACGAGCCACGCTCGACACCTGGCCTGCAGGGCCACAATGTGGCCCCTCAAGTGACGGAAGCGATGGGACAAGACTCGAGAACGGATGGCAGCCTGCAACCGGTTGAATCCCAGTCGCATTGCTACAAACCGTCTACGGGCTGCATACGCCCTGTAGTGACGCTGCACAACCAAAGCTGCCTTCTTCATTCGCACGAATCTGTCGAGGAATAAAATAAAATAAAACATTTGCCGAATATTTTTAATCAGCAAAAAATCAGGAAGTTTGTCTACATCCAAATAAAGTCGCATCTGCTGAACAGTGAAGAAAACGGGTCTTCCGTTTTAACGCGCTATGCTGATTATTTTAAATAATTAAAAAAAAATTCAGACTTGATTAGGTTATTTTCGGTCAGGCTGGTGAGAAAATATATGAGCCTGGAAGTTTGGAAAGCACGGTCTGATGATGAAGGGAAAATCGCAGATGCACTCAACACAAAACATACGTATTTCTGCAAAAAGCCTTCGTATGGAAGACGAAAAGCATCACGAATTATTCCTATCCTTAACAAAACATTTTCAATGAAAATAAAATTATTTTTAGTTCACGGCGGAGGAGCAAACTAGATCACGATAAGTAAAAAAAAAAAAAATACGTACAAACGTTACATCAATTTTGTTGAGCACAATCAGATTGGTTCGCAAGAAATTCTTTTCAGGAGATAGTAACACGCACCTCCGGCGATAAATCCATCCCTTGATGGTCTTTTGCAAGATGAGAATTTTTCGCGTCAAGACCCTGTCACGTTCCTGTTCAAGGAACAAATCGTGAGCATCCTTGAGGAACACTTTGGTTTTTCCCAACTGGTAATCCGCTCCTCTGGCTCCCAGTACTGCTTGACAAATCTTTGCTGTCGCCGACCGACAATCGACCTGCCATTAAAAGATTAAATTATTCAATTATCAAAAAAACAAAACAAAAATCGTACTAGAGGATGCCGATGAATGCAAACATGACAAGGATAAATTCATATCATACACGAATTTTTTCCACACTTTCTACACGGAAAAGTAATTCAGTTGTATATATAATGTGGGCGGCACGAGTAATTCTAGAACGTTTTTATCCGACTTCACGAGGGGCCCAACAAATGTTCACGGAACAGACATTGAAACTGCATACAATTGAGCTGAACAAGAATTAAAGCTCAGAAAAAAAATCCTTTGGCAAGAAATGTTCTGCCTGTCTCTCAAAAGCGCATCTCGCAGATGTTTTGGTGTAGCTTAGCTTTCCCTTCAAAATTCTTGAAATTGAAATGGCACGAAGTCCAAGGGTTGTTGTAATTTGTTAATTATCACTTCCGTCATTTCAATCAACAGCCGCCACTTATTGGGATGAGAAAGTGGCGGGCGTGAAGGCGGCTGTTGTTGAAAATGGCGCAATTACCTCGATAAGACCTGGAGGAGACCCTTGGAATTAATGCCAAATAAATTTCAAGAATTCTGAAGGAGAAGCTGGGCTAAATAAAAAAAATGCCAGAAGGGCATCTCATCTTTTGAGTGAAGAGCAGAAAGCTGCCAGAATGACTTAAAAAAAATACGTCAGAGCTGAATTTTTACTTGTGCCAAAGAATATTTTTTGGAACGATAATTGCTTTTTAGCTCAACTACGATACATGCAACTTCGCTTTCTATCCCGAGAACTTTTGTTAGACCCCTCGTATACAGGACACAATATAGGCGCTTTAAAAGGGTAAGCAATCTAGCTTTGTTCAGCCGGCAACCCGATGGCACGCAGTAACAGAATTTCCAAGCAAGAATTCCTATTTTCATTAATGCGCACGCCATATCCCCCCCCCCCCAACATATCAACATTTTTGCAGCCCACAGAGATTTTCCTTATTATAAGCTTTTCAATGTTAGGCTCCGTAAAAATGGGTACATTCATGCATGATCCAAGCAAAAATCTTACGAGGAAACAGCAGTCCAAACAACAAAAAAACCTTCGCCTCATGAATTCACCGACGTCTTGAAAACTGAATCAAGTATCCAATTATACAAACCTTATGCGCTGGAGGGATGCCATTGATGAGGAACCGATACCGGTCCACAAACTCCCGGAAAGTGTGTCTGATGGGATACCCAGCCCTACGAATCCTGATCGTTTCCATCATTCCCGAGTATCGCAGTTGGCGACAGCACAATTCTCTATCAAAGACCATCGGTTTCTTGTCTTCGTTCGGCTTCACGCAACGAATGAAAAATGGCTGGCAAGCTGCGAGGGTTTTCATCAATGAGTCGAGGCTTTTCTTGAACTGCGCCGACAGCGTTGGGGCCCGTTTGCGGGTCTCAGAACCCATCCGGATTTCTTCCGCGAAAAGGTCTCGGAGGAAACGGTTTGATGTCACATGGATCACCTGGAAATAATGACCACAACTAATTATTTAGGGAATGAATTTTGCGACGCTCCTGATTAAAAAAAACATAAATATTTTCAGCAAAACTGCGCAAATATTAAAGTTTGCAAAAAAAAAAAAAATACCTGAAGAAGATCAGCACTGAAAGTGTCTCTATTCTTCTCTAGGAATCCTCGAGTGTCGTAGAACACAACTCCGGCGAAATGGTTCAGGCCGAAGGACGTATTGATATCGGACTTGGGTTTCAAATAATTCCGGTTGTCACCGTGTTGTTTGTGCAACTTTGCCAACATTGTCTGATCCGTGCCCTGATGAAATTTCGAACAAATAATCACCATGTATTCAAAGGGGAAGAAAAGGAAGCTTTTTATTTAATAAATTTCGACTCAAGATGGGGAAAACTGCGCTATACTGGATCAGCAGGAATCCATTATATCCACCTTTGGAAATTTGGATTCCTCGTCGACTAAAGCCATGATATTGAGCTGTTTGACACCAATCAAATCCAAGGCGTCTTGGTTGTCCACAAATTCGATATGCTGCCAGGAAATGCCCTCCAGGTTGTACTCTTCCTGCTCCAGTTTGAAAATGTGCCGCACAAAGAACTGCTGCAAATTCTCGTTCGCATAATTGATGCAAAACTGCTCGAAACTGCAAACATTCGACAGATATTAATTTCTCGACAAACAGACAAAAACCGTAAAATATTGTTACAACGAAACTGTGGGCACCTGGCAAAATGCGACGTTAAAAAGATAAATTCATTGCGAAGCGATTCGAAAAACATTATTGGACAGGGACCTGGAAAAGAAATCTTTTGTTAAAACGGGATTCGTTTTACGAGATTAAACTGTTCTGTATATATTCTTTCGAAACGGGGTTCGGAGTTTTGCTCATATTTACCTGTTCACATCGAAGTTCTCAAAACCGAAGATATCGAGGACACCGATCGACGATCTTTCACCTTGCTTCGGCCGGTAAATCGCCGAATTGATTTTACCAACGATCCAAATAAATAAACGGCTGTAAATCCCTTTGACCAACGCGTCACGTACGTCAGTAGCTTGTGATAAATTCAGCAACGACGTCTAAAAATAGGAAAGAAACGCACTTTTTAAAACGCCCAAATAAAGAGAAGTACAGTTCTACGAAAATAAATGTAAAACTCGTTTACATCGAAATTCAAAGGACCTCGAGAAAGTTCCATAAAAATTAATTTCGTTGCCTGACGATTTTTTTTGAATATGAACTTCACACGTGCAAAGAACTAGTACTGAGCAGTACTTTCAGCAAATCCCGACTGATCAAGCGGAAATGTAAGCAAGTGCTAAAGTAAACAAATATTAAATTGTCAAGAGAAAATTAAAACAGATGCTAGTAAAAATTTCAAGCGATGTCATGATTTTAAATTCTCACTGGAATGAGTGGGATGATAAAAAAAATTCGAGAAGAGGCCAGAACATGATGGTACAGCACAGCATAAATCGGTAAAATCACGTTCATCCAAAACTTATAATAAAAAACAACCACAATAAATTTTAAATTCTTCTTGGACCGAATGGAATGAGATAAAAATTCAAAAAGAGGCAAGAAAATGAACGCATTATTCGTCAAAAATCACGTTCATCAAAAAAAAAAACATATTTAAAGAACCAACTCTCGTTCACGTTTTACAGGCTTTCAACACGAGCGCAAGCAAACGTACCACAGTCTCCCCCTGGGTGAAGATCGTCTTTTTCGTGATGGCGTCGATGAGAGCCCGATCGTCAACCCCCAGCATCTTGGCAGCTCTCGTCACCGTCGTTCTATCGGCTATTTCTGTAGCGTCCAGGTTGTCCACGACACGGGCTTTGAAATGCACGTTGCCTATATTCAACACAGTGGCGAGCAGACGCACAATTTCCATCACGTCCGAGTCCGCAAACATCAGCACCTTCATTGCCGACAGGATGTCCGAGTATTCCGCGGAATCGTTGCGTCCTTCGCACGTGATGCAGCGTCCCTGAGAAAACATGGACTGCGTTAGAAATTCTAAAATTTGAAAAAATAGAATAAAACCTGTCGACTGTCACAACATTTCAACGACAGAATTTACTAAACGCGCGTCGAAACTTATTTTTCTGGACAGAATTAAAAGCTCGCTGTCCTGGAAGATTCTCGAAATTCAAGAGATGTAATCGCCACATGGAAAACTTTCTCGGTTCCAGGCCAAATCAAATATGCCGATATCAAGAAACCTTTCGTCAACAATTTTGGAAAATAGCTGTACATCACTGAAGAAAAGCTTCCCAATACCACATTTTTGAATGTCCGAGACAAAAAAAATTTAAATCCAAAGTATTGACCTAATCCTAGTCTTTTCCGTAAAAATAAATAGGTAAAACTTAAGGAAAATGAAGAAAATAAAAGGAGCCAATATCAAAAAATTCGCTCACCTTTCTGGAAAATGAATTTCTTACATGAAAATTAAATTGAAAGCCAGAAAATTCGTCTAGTTCACTTTCACGGGTGGTCCACACAAAAGAAGTAGACCAATTATTTGAATGATTCGACGTAAAAAAAAAAAAAAAAACTGGCTTACCTTTCTGAAAAATAAATTTCGTGCATGGGAAATAAATTGAAAGCCAAAAAATCCGTCGAGTCTAGTTTTAAAGGGTGGGCCACACGAAAGAAAAAGACCCATTATTTAAGAGATTAATATCTCTCGAACATTCGCAAATATCGCCTTGAAAATTAGAAGAAAAATATCCAACATAATTCGAAGACTTTTCAAATCATCTCTCAATTTCATGGTTCTTAAAACGACGCTGTTATCACACCATTATACAAGGAAGGGAAAATGACCCCTTCGTAAACCAAGCAGTCGTCGCGATATTTTTTCCCGCTACTTCAAAAATGTGTAAAACAGTGTAAAATTTGAAGAAGTTGAATAATGCATCATTCATTCCCATGAGACACACTGCAGAAACGAAGGCAAACAAGACGATAAACCTACCCTCGTCAAATAATGATACTTGGAAGCGTCCTGAAGCTCGAACTTGGCCTTTTCAGTCTTGCTCATCCCGGCAAGCATGCAGTAGAATATGTGGTAATTTCTTTCGTCCTTCGCTTGCGAAACCAGTCGACTCTTCTCCAACAAGTACTGTTCTATCCTGGCTCCTTCAATTGTTCCGGCGGACGAAAAGTGGATGTCAATGTACTTCCCGAACCGAGAACTGTTATCGTTCCTGATGGTTTTCGCATTTCCAAAAGCTGTGGGGGATTAGAAAGAGCATAAAAAAATATTCCGAGATTAAACTTCTCTCAAAAAATGTGAACTAAAAAAATTCATGCCGGCTTATTCAGGCACCATCAGAAATCACCTTCAAGGATGGGATTCGCTTCCAATATTTGCTGCTCAATCCACGAATGCTTTCCACTGATTGCAGCCAAATATTGCAAAATTAGTTTGGTGCTTTCCGTCTTTCCAGCTCCACTTTCACCGCTACCAAAGAAGAAAAAAGTAATTATTATTCAAGATGCCTCTATAATCCATACTTCGTATAAGGCAATAAAATTATAGCTCGAGAATACAGTAAAATAACTTGAAAACTAAACTTACACATACGAATTAATAGCAAATGAAATCTTCTACAAGACGATTAATTGAAATTCGGCGAAAGTTCAACTATAGTTGAACGCTCTAGATGCGAGCGAAGGCAAAATTACTGCACGTGAAAAAAAAAGAGTCGTAATTTCAAAATTCCGCTTAAACTATTTTCAGCTTCACGTTCATCCCGTTTTTCTTTCTTTTCAAGACTGCCTCTTGACTGTAACATTTTCTCAAAGGTGACATAGGGGAGGAACGATAATTCGCAACATTCCAGCGGTTAATCAGAATTTAAAAAAAAATAAACTTTTCAAAGAAAAATACAGCAGAAGTGGAGAATCAGCAAAAGGCCTGAGAGTGCTTCGACTGTAAGAATACTAATAGGCACACGAATCACAACCTTAACTTGGCGCCCTTAAAATCGGGGTTTCAAAATCTCAATACGTACAGTATTTATGAAAATTAATGTTCATAATCCCTTTTCTTCGAAACAGGAAAATCTCTGGACTCAGTGAATTGGGAAACATCAAAGCGATTCAAACACAAAAAAAAGAACGAACTCATCAGTTGGAAAATTTTGCAAACATTTCAGTCCAAAAGAATTTCATCAAGTTTTGTCAAAGGGGGGAAAAAAAAAAACGGAAACTCGGCGGAGAGACGAAGGATTCCCACCAACCTAATGACTACGCATTGGTCTTGCCGAAATCTTCGCATGTGCGAGTAAGCATTGTCTCCGATTGCAAAAATATGCGGAGGCAATTCTCCAATTTTCTTATCCCTGTAAAGTTTTATCTGCTCGCCCGTGTAAATTGGCAAGATCTGGTACGGATTCACAGCGACTAAAATTGAGCCCGTGTACGTCTGAAAAACACACACAAGAAAAAAATATTGATTAGACACTCGACTATTTATCTCGCAAAAAAAAAATATATATATATCTATATATATATTTACATAAATGAGGTGTTCATTGTATCGGATGAGCAAATTCCGGAGGATCCCGGCCTCGTGCAAATCTCCCAAAGAAATCATGTCTTCGACGCCTTGCACCGATGTTGGGTGCATCGCTTTTATTCTCCTTTCCGGCGTCAACCATTGTTCCTGAAATAATAAAATGCGCAATTCAAAACCAGTTCGCAGTTAAACACGTAAATAAATCAGTCAATGATCAATATAAATGCATACACAAATACAGTACATCAATTAATGAGTTCTACGCAAAGAAATACAAACGAGAAACTCTCTTGGAAAACCCAAAAAAATCTGAGATAGCCTCTAAATTGAAATTTTCTCAGGTTTTTAAACAGTAAAACAATCTTCGTCACATGAAAAAAATGAGAGGTATTCTATACAGACTGATGAAAACTCCAGAATTTTTCGACGTCGTTTTAAAATATATATTTCCCTTTCTCAAACTTTAAAATTCCATTCGGATATATAGAAGAGCGGAAAGTCAGAACCACCGAAACAAAAGGACGATCAATTTATCCGAAAGGAAATACGGGGAAAATCGAAGCCATCAAATCCCTATACTGTACACACAGACCAGAATCACTTCCGTCAACCATGATCATGTGAAGTTAATCTCATAATCACGAAGTCAATTCGACGGTGATCAACGATTTATTCCGGGAATTGAATCGCTTCCTCAAAGTCGATAACGTACTTCCGCGATATCGAAATTTTAAAACGAATATACGAGCAAAGAACTAAATACAGTACATCAAACATAAATCACATTCCACGGAGAACATAACGGAGAAACTAGGGTAATCTAGACGGAAATCAATTTGTAATCGATTTTTAATTTCTTCGAAGGAAAGAATATAAAATGATCTACTTCATGAATTTTTTTCCCCATCTGTATGATGAACTCGGATAATTACCTAGAGAGAATCATATTCACCATCAGTTAGTTTGGAATCCAAAAGGGATTACAGTAATTCCGCATCAAATACAGCACATTATTTTCACTCCAGAATTAATTGAAAATCAAGAATTAAAATGGCAAAAAGAATTACAAAATCACTATAGTAAATTTGAGATAATTTAAAATACTATTCCATTCAAAATACAGTACAGTACATTAATTTCCGTTAACTGTGAGCCGTCTTCCTGGAGGAGGACCTTCTTCGGGGGAAGCATAAAAAAAACTAATGTATGACTTTTCTTCTAATCATTCGGATACTAATTACACATAGATAATCATATTCACCATCAGTTAGGAATCTAAAGGAAATGCAGTAATGCCGCATCAAATACAGGATTTAGTTCCCCCTCCCCCAGAATTAATAGAAAATCAAGATTAAGCATTCAAAAAATCAAAATGCATAACAAGGTTACAGAATTAAATTTTCGATAATTTAAAACACTTTTCAATTCGAAATACCGTCCTGTACTGTATTTTCCACTACCTTATCGTCGTCGTCCTCGACGAGGATTTTTCAGACTTCTCCGAGGGAAAGCATGAAACGAAATACTGCGTACATTTTATTTTAATCATTCGGATCTCATAAAATAAAGAGAATCATATCCACAAGTTAAAAATGAAAAAAGACATTAGAATACCATTCTGCGTCAGCTATAATAGTTTCCCTCCTGAATCAATAGAAAATTAGGAATAAATAAAAATGATCAAAATTTGCTGAACAGATTTGATTCAAATTCCTCAGACAAAATTCATTAATTAGAGTACATATTAAATGTACGATAATTTAAAAGTACTCTCCATTGCAGTACCTGATTGTCGTCGTCCTGGACGAGGATCTTTCGACCTTCTGCGGCGATCACTCGGCCACCGATGGCAACGTCGAACTCTCGACGTGTCAAAGGCTCGATCCATATGTAATCCCCCTGGAAAACAAAAGTGAAAAGTTTTTATTTGAAAAATAATACATCATCAACGAATAAAATGAAAAATAAACTATTAGAGCCGGCAAAATCCCGTGATTACTTCCAACCACTCATCGACATTGATCGACGAGAAATCTGCTGTCGCTGATCAGAATTAGGGAAAATCTCAGCAAAACAGTGAAACTTCGACGTCAATTGATGCGATTTTCAAAATGCAAGCGGAGTTTTTAGATGACAACATTATAAATAAACTCCGAAAGCAATTTCAAGATATCGACGCTAATTCGCCGAAAATCATGATAATTTGAAAAACGGAATTCACTTGGAACATTAAAGAAAATAAGCATGTATATTCCAACAGGATAGAAAAATCGATGGAACAATAAAATATTTCCTTTGTTTGAATAATTTCCACGAAGAATAATAACGCAACTGATAATACCCAAATCAGTAATAAGTCAGAAAAACCCGTAACGAAAAATTTCATGTCAGACCGAATACATAGTAAAACAAATGACAAATACAAATTTCGGACTGTAATACCAAAACTTTTTTTTCAGCGATGCGATATACTGTAATACTAATAAAACACGACCAAGTAATAACCAAGGGAGCCCCAAGAAAGTGAAATACTGTACAGTATTAGGAAATCATTTCTTAAAAAATAATAGCATGATAACAGCGGACGAAACGCAACTTTAGAAAATTTATTTTTAAGAAAGATGCTTTGTTCTAAGGAAAGAGGCGTTTTAAGCTTCCTGTAGTAAGCGCATATAAATAAATATATAGTTGCTATCAGCGACCGTTTTTCAAAGTGATTTGGGGATATTTCATCGATTCTTCTGAGCAAAAAACTGCCTTCATATAGAAAAAAAAATTGGAACTGCCTATTTTAAAGAACAGTCAAGAATTTCCACGAAGGTTCTCTTCTCATCTTTCAATAGAACAGAGATCTGCTAGAGAGAGAAAAAAATTAAACGTCAGATTGAAGATTTACTCTTTCCTCACAATAATTTTCGAAAATGCTTCATCTCGAAACGATCCAAAGTCGGTCAACACGTAGGAGTTTTCCTGAGTTTTTAAAAATCGAAGAAGAAGAAGAAAACCAGAATTATTTTCGCTTTTATCTTTGCAGAATCAGCGAAATCATTTCGGCAAGCCTTTTTATACAGAACTTACGAGAAAAAAAAAGAAAATTCGAATTCGACGAAGAACAATGTCCACTTCTTCGTCAATTCCGTCAAGTTTCTCTCAGATAATAAATACTTTATACTACACCAAAAAATTATTTCCAAGAGAAAATGCGCCATTCAAAGACAGAAAAAACCAAAAATGCTTTGAACAAACTCCGAAAAAGACTCAAAATATATTTATTTAAAAAAAAGCCCTTCATCCTTGCACAAAAACACAAGCAGGGAATTATCAGCGGAGCTCGACGACGAGAAACTTTCTGCTGCGAAATTTAAGTCGTGTTCTGACAGCTAAGAGGGCTGTGGTCGCGGCAGCAAAAATATGGGACGGAGGAGAGAGTTCGTTGGGCCCCCCTGCGGTTATAACTTGGGGTAGGTAGGGAGTGGTGGTGGTGGTCCAAATACCCCTCACTCCTTTTTTATTTGTTTTTGTTCCACACTCTTCAACTTATTTCGCTCTCTCTCTTTCTCCCCTGACACTCTATACGAGGGGTCTAACAAAAGTTCTCGGAATAGAAATCAAAATGGCATATAATTGATCTGAAAAACAATTATTTTTGAAGGAAAACATATTCTTTGGCACAAGAAAATAATCAGCTCTGTTTGAAATTTTTTGCGTGAATGTTTTGCAAAATTCCCTCTGGCAGAGTTTTGCTCTCCACTTGAAAGATGAGGCGCCCTTCCTGCCACATTGGCAGCAGTGAAGGTGGCTTTTGATGAAAATGGCAGAATTACCTTGGAAGACCTGGAGGCAACACTTGGAATTAATTTCACTTTGATTTCAAGAATTATGAGGGGAAATCTGGGCTATACAACAACAAAATCTGCAGGAAGGGCGCCTCATCTTTTGAGTGCAGAGCAAAACTCTGCCATATAGTGAATTTAGCAAAACATTCAAAAAAGTGTGTTGTCTAAAATGGGAAGCATATAAAAAGATAGTAGTGATCAACTCATGTACTAAATTCAATTGCTTGCCAAGATGACAAGAGTCAGAGATTTGAATTGTTTTCCGCAACTTCCAAAGGAAATGCAAAAGTTACTCCATGAGAGTATTTTCAAGTAGAAGTTTTATATCAATTTTACACACAGTATCACACAAACAATATAAGTTGCAGAGCAGAGCAACAACAACAAGGTTTCAGTTCAATGCCCAAATGTGGTAAGCCTCCTTCAAAATAAAACACACCTGTATTCATAACTTTGGCTGGCTGAGGTCAAGAATTGCACATAGCAACCAATTTGGATAGGGAATGTCATAATTTGTTTGCTTGGTAAAATAAAGAACCGTGAACGTGGTTGGGAAAGTATTCCGGTTGGCAACAGGATTGTGAAATAATGACTAGCACTCTTAACTTAACCAAGTTTAGCAGAACACATTAACATTATATAGTCATTCAGAAATTGTTTGTGTATTGTAGTTGATGATATGACTACAAATTTGTCAAAAAGGGCTGATTTTTTTTGTGTGTGCCAAAGAATATGCTTTCCCAAAAGAATAAATTTTTTTTCCAGCTCAATTTAATGCCGCTTCACTTTATATTCCAAGAACTTTTGTTAGACCCCTCATATATACACACACACTCAAGGGTCAGCTACCAAGTCAATTCCTTCCGAAATCCAGAATATCTCGTGAATTATACACAACGTCGGTGGCTCTTTCGTCTGCTGCTCGCAACATGAAATCAATGAACGCATCAGACCATTACTATATACACTGCCGAGGCTTCAAAACCCCCCTCCTCTCCGTCATTTTTATCGGAAATCGGAATTATTTAGTCATTAAAAAACTATCGAATTTGGGTCGGTCGGAAAAGCAAATTCAAATGGCACATGCCAGTGATGGGTGGTTCAACAATTTAGGCCGCATGGAGAATGGTAAAATATATATACAGGTGAACCTCAATAACTCGAACCGCCCTAAGTCAAATACCCCACTAAGTCGAATTTTTTTTCAGGTCCCCATCTGAATCCCCTTAAAAACAATACATTAAAAACATCCCTAAGTCAAAAGATTTTCCCCTCAAACCTCCATAAGTCAAATTTTCTGTGGCCTTTTGGCCATTATTTGCTTTTAAAAAAGAAAGAAAAAAGCAATAAAAAAAGAAATTTGTGTGTTTTAAAGGATGTGGAAGACTGAATTGGGCAGATGAACCCCTGCCTCCAAATTCAGCAGCCTCTCAACTCATTCAAGAAGCCATTTAAGCCCCAGAATATCACCATTTACATTTGTTCCAAGTTTTTCCAGAAAAAAGGACTTTGTATTGCAGTTCCAACCTAAAAAATTCCAAACCTCCCTGAGTCAAAATTTTTTTGCAGGTCCCTTGAAATTCGGCTTAAAGAGGTTCAGCTGTATCTTTACATGTATACATTTATATATACTGTACTTGAACCTCTCTAAGTCAAACTTGTAGGGACCAGGAAAACCTTGACAGTACTTTCCTGTTACCTCAGTACCTACTTTCCTGTTATCTCTGTACCTCATTCCTAGACTGCACTACCATCCAGAAAAATCTTTAGGACAAGTTCATAATCAAAAAAACCAAACAGAAACTGTGAATTTTATTTTTCCGCATTCTGCTGGAACTGATTTTAAGAGGCGGTTAGGTAAAGTTAGGTTAGGTCAGGTTATGTTAGTTACAAATATCTTTTAATTAACATAACCTGACCTAACCTAACTTTACCTAAC